GGGGGGGGGGGGGGCACATTGAGATTCCTGCAAAACGTACTCTTAATTTCGTGACTTCCTTGGGATATGAATCGCCGCTGCAGGACACTGCAGCAGACAGTGCCAGGGTTGAAAGAGAGTACCCCCCCCTCCCAACCACTAGAGCAGCGACAACTGTGATAACATTTTTTCTATTGCTCCGGACCATCTGACAGTAAAATGTATCTGAATATTACAGTAACTGTAACAGAGTCTCTCTTGAGGATGTATTAGTACGTAGTGCAGTTAGAGAAATTCAGCGCTTTTTATGGAACATGAAAGTTCATTTTCGTGTTCACAAAATCCTGCCGATGGGCCAATCCTGAGTCAGATTAATTCCGTTGACTCCATCAACAGCTATTTAACAAACATCTATCTTAATATTATCTTCCTATCCAAGTCTAGGTCTGCAAAGTGGTCAATTTCTGTACTCCTTTTTCGTCCTTAAGGGATGCTGCACGCCCTTCCCGTCTCACCGTTCTTAATTTCAACACCCTGATAACGCGCGAGGAAGCCTACAAATTACGAAGGTGCTCATTATGCGGTCTTCCTTTCTCTCAGGTACATAAATTACCCTGCGCGCCCCGTTCTCGAACACCGTCAGTCTGCGTTCTTCCCTCAGACTGAAAGACCAAGTTTTCCTCCCTTGCGACTTTCAAGTTCGCGTCTTCAGCTTAAAACAAGTGTGCAGAAAAGTGAAACAAAGTGGCTGCCTGCTTCCCACTTAAAGTCCCGGCACATACAGTCACGTGCTCTCAATACGCAATTAATCTGCCCTCTCTTAATATCTGAGGGCTCAGGTGCTGTGCCGGTAAATCACCTGCTTAAACTGGGGCCATACATTTCAAGACAGCACCGCCATTAGGGCGGAGTGGGGAGACAGCGACCTCTTAAGCACGGCACATGAACGCAAAAGCTTCAGAGTGAATCGAGGCGCAGATAATTTGCATCTCAGATAGGTTGCGCATTTCACGATCCAAGGACTGCAAGATATGGGGAGGGGGCAAAAGGGTCCACGTAGAGCGATTTAAGGATCAGGGGGGCGTGGAGCTGTAAAACTTATGACTTTAGCCTCCATAAAAGAAATTACTGTCATAAATCTATTTTTTAAAATTGTTTGAAATAAAATTATGTTTAAACAGAGCGAGAAAAGTTTTATGATTATCGCTTTTAGATCTACGTCTTCTTTTTAATGTTGGGGGGGGGGGGGAGGATTATTCGCTGTGATTTAGAAACAGATGAGTTGTCTTCTTGGTGCAGATAATTTCAGAACACAACACTTCACAGCAATTCTGATTGTTTCATTAGCTTAAAAACTTTCACGAGCCTAACATACGGGTTCGTACTGCCATGATAAAAGTTAAACCCTGCATTGCACGTGAAAACGAATTTTGGAAGCAACAAACAAGATAAATCTCATGTTCCATGGACCACGAAGCAACTGCACTCCCCAATAATTTCAATCACTGGCCTTATTTATTTAACTATGCATTTATTTGTGGTTAATTTAATGACGCTGTCACTGAAAGATAGTATGATTAATGAATAATTATTTCGAAAAAAGTAAGTAATGAAGAGGTCGTGGCCGATTTAAGTTGCTGTCACGGCATTTGACTGGAAGATATAAACACACAGTAAAAACCTCGGTAAAATTAGTGGGTCTTCGGGTCGATATTTGAACTTGGGAATTTCTGAATACGAACCGCTTGATCGCTATGTTCGACGTCTTTCTGTTTCGAAGCTGCTTTCCTCAGTACCGCTTTTGAAATTCTGAACGAAAGCATCTTATGTCACAGCAGCAGACAAGGACTCCCCCCCCCC